CTCCCTCTCAGTGTCTCCCTCCTCTCAATGTCTCCCACCTCTCAATGTCTGCCACCTCTCAGTGTTTCCCACCTCTCAATGTCTCCCACCTCCCCCAGTCTCCCTCCCTCTCAATGTCTCCCTCCTCTCAATGTCTGCCTCCTCTCAATGTCTCCCACCTCCACCAGTCTCCCTCCTCTCAATGTCTCCCTCCTCTCAATGTCTCCCTCCTCTCAATGTCTCCCACCTCTCAATGTCTCCCTCCTCTCAATGTCTCCCACCTCCCCCAGTCTCCCTCCTCTCAATGTCTCCCACCTCCGCCAGTCTCCCTCCTCTCAATGTCTCCCACCCGTCAATGTCTCCCACCTCTCAATGTCTCCCACCTCCCCCAGTCTCCCTCCTCTCAATGTCTGCCTCCTCTCAATGTATCCCACCTCTCAATGTCTCCCACCTCCCCCAGTCTCCCTCCTCTCAATGTCTCCCTCCTCTCAATGTCTCCCTCCTCTCAATGTCTCCCTCCTCTCAATGTCTCCCACCTCCACCAGTCTCCCTCCTCTCAATGTCTCCCTCCTCTCAATGTCTCCCTCCTCTCAATGTCTCCGACCTCTCAATGTCTCCCACCTCCCCCAGGCTCCCTCCTCTCAATGTCTCCCTCCTCTCAATGTCTCCCTCCTCTCAATGTCTCCCTCCTCTCAATGTCTCCCACCCCTCAATGTCTCCCACCTCTCAATGTCTCCCTCCTCTCAATGTCTCCCACCTCCACCAGTCTCCCTCCTCTCAATGTCTCCCTCCTCTCAATGTCTCCCTCCTCTCAATGTCTCCCACCCTCTCAATGTCTCCCTCCTCTCAATGTCTCCCACCTCCCCCAGTCTCCCTCCTCTCAATGTCTCCCTCCTCTCAATGTCTCCCACCTCCACCAGTCTCCCTCCTCTCAATGTCTCCCTCCTCTCAATGTCTCCCTCCTCTCAATGTCTCCCTCCTCTCAATGTCTCCCTCCTCTCAATGTCTCCCTCCTCTCAATGTCTCCCTCTCAGTGTCTCCCTCCTCTCAATGTCTCCCACCTCTCAATGTCTCCCACCTCTCAATGTCTCCCACCTCCACCAGTCTCCCTCCTCTCAATATCTCCCTCCTCTCAATGTCTCCCTCCTCTCAATGTCTCCCTCCTCTCAATGTCTCCCTCCTCTCAATGTCTCCCTCCCTCTCAGTGTCTCCTTACCTCTCAATGTCTCCCACCCCTCAATGTCTCCCACCTCTCAATGTCTCCCTCCTCTCAATGTCTCCCACTTCCACCAGTCTCCCTCCTCTCAATGTCTCCCTCCTCTCAATGTCTCCCTCCTCTCAATGTCTCCCTCCTCTCAATGTCTCCCTCCTCTCAGTGTCTCCCTCCTCTCAATGTCTCCCACCTCTCAATGTCTCCCTCCTCTCAATGTCTCCCACCTCCACCAGTCTCCCTCCTCTCAATGTCTCCCTCCTCTCAATGTCTCCTTCCTCTCAATGTCTCCCTCCTCTCAATGTCTCCCTCCCTCTCAATGTCTCCCTCCCTCTCAATGTCTCCCACCTCTCAATGTCTCCCTCCTCTCAATGTCTCCCTCCTCTCAATGTCTCCCTCCTCTCAATGTCTCCCACCTCCACCAGTCTCCCTCCTCTCAATGTCTCCCTCCTCTCAATGTCTCCCTCCTCTCAATGTCTCCCTCCCTCTCAGTGTCTCCCTCCTCTCAATGTCTCCCACCCCTCAATGTCTCCCACCTCTCAATGTCTCCCTCCTCTCAATGTCTCCCACCTCCACCAGTCTCCCTCCTCTCAATGTCTCCCTCCTCTCAATGTCTCCTTCCTCTCAATGTCTCCCTCCTCTCAATGTCTCCCTCCCTCTCAATGTCTCCCTCCCTCTCAATGTCTCCCTCCTCTCAATGTCTCCCTCCCTCTCAATGTCTCCCTCCCTCTCAATGTCTCCCACCTCTCAATGTCTCCCTCCTCTCAATGTCTCCCTCCTCTCAATGTCTCCCACCTCCCCACTTCCCAAGTCTCTCGCCTCTCCCGTCTCCCACTTCACCGAATCTCCCACCTCTCCGTGCCCCCCCCCCCCCCTCGTCTCCCGCTCAATTCGTCCATTCATTGCATAATTTGATTAATTCATTTCCGGTCGAAGCGCGGCCCCTTCTGGTCCTGCGCTGGCAGACGTTCCGTGCTGCCCCCTCGCGCGCGACCCCGTTCCACTCCGTGCACTGAGATATTTATTTATTTATTTCTCTTTGCATCGCGCAAGGGGGAGGAGCGCACTCGCGCCGTCGTTGGAGGAGGGGGGGAGCGAGGGGGGCGGCAGTCGCCACTGCTTACTCCGTCGTGAGCGTGAGAAAGAGCGTGAGGTAGAGAGAGAGAGGTTGAGATAGAGGGAGAGAGATAGAGGGAGAGAGATAGAGGGAGAGAGATAGAGGGAGAGAGATAGAGGGAGAGAGAGGTGGAGAGAGTGAGGTAGAGAGAGATAGAGGTAGAGAGAGTGAGGTAGAGAGAGAGAGGTGGAGAGTGAGGTAGAGAGATAGAGGTAGAGAGATAGAGGTAGAGAGATAGAGGGAGAGAGATAGAGGTGGAGAGATAGAGGTGGAGAGATAGAGGGAGAGAGATAGAGGTGGAGAGAGAGATAGAGGGAGAGAGATAGAGGTGGAGAGATAGAGGGAGAGAGATAGAGGTGGAGAGAGAGAGAGAGGTGGAGAGATAGAGGTGGAGAGATAGAGGGAGAGAGATAGAGGTAGAGAGAGAGGTAGAGAGATAGAGGTAGAGAGATAGAGAGAGAGGTGGAGAGAGTGAGGTAGAGAGAGAGGTGGAGAGAGAGGTGGAGAGAGAGGTAGAGAGTGAGGTAGCGAGTGAGGTAGAGAGAGAGAGGTTGAGAGAGTGAGGTAGAGAGAGAGGTGGAGAGAGAGGTGGAGAGAGAGGTAGAGAGTGAGGTAGAGAGTGAGGTAGAGAGTCAGGTAGAGAGAGAGAGGTTGAGAGAGTGAGGTAGAGAGAGAGATAGAGAGAGAGGTGGAGAGAGAGGTAGAGAGTGAGGTAGAGAGTGAGGTAGAGAGTCAGGTAGAGAGAGAGAGAGGTTGAGAGAGTGAGGTAGAGAGATAGAGAATGAGATAGAGAGTGAGGTAGAGAGAGAGAGGTAGAGAATGAGATAGAGAGAGTGAGGTGGAGAGAGAGGTAGTGAGATAGAGAGAGAGTGAGGTAGAGGGAGAGAGAGTGAGGTAGAGAGAGTGAGGTGGAGAGAGTGAGGTACAGAGAGATAGACAATGGGATAGAGAGAGTGAGGTGGAGAGAGAGGTAGTGAGATAGAGAGAGAGTGAGGTAGAGGGAGAGAGAGTGAGGTAGAGAGAGTGAGGTGGAGAGAGTGAGGTAGAGAGAGAGTGAGGTAGGGAGAGATAGAGAATGAGATAGAGAGAGGTGGAGAGAGTGAGGTGGAGAGAGAGAGAGAGGTGGAGAGAGAGAGAATCTGTGGACAGCTTTGTGCGCTGCGCATATTGTGGGGATCTCTGCCGATTCATCCCTCGCCCTCTCCCCGGCGGACGCCTGCGACCCTCAGTCCCCCGCTGCCGTGGCGCACGGAGAAACGCGGACCCCGGACTCGAACCATCGTCCGGTCGCTGCGCGGCCACGCGCCGTGATTTACATTCATTCACAACACCGCTGTTGTTGGTGGTGGTGGTGGTAGTGGTTGCGCACGTTTGTGGGTCGTGGGTGCAACGCGTCTCGAAAACCCCCGCGTGCAGGAGACACACGGGGGGACAGAACGGATCCATCTGTCTCCTCCAGTCCACCACCAGCACCACCACCGCCAGCATCACCACCACCACCGCCACCACCAGCATCACCACCAGCATCACCGCCAGCACCAGCACCACCGCCAGCACCGCGCGTGGTAGCGCAACACGCGCGGGTGCTCGAGCGCCTCGTGAGGATTCCGTCCAAGCGAGGAACTAAAAACAACATCGCTGCTCACTGCTCGCTTCTCCTCCTCCTCCTGCTTCTCGTACTTCGCGCCTCGCCCCCCCGTCTCGACCCCGGGCTCCTGGCTCCTGTCGGGCTGCGGAGACTCCGAGCCGGGGCGGAGCGCCTCGCGCGTGGACTCGCGGGAGTCGCTTCGCGTTGCGCGCGTCCCTGACGGAGGGAGGCGCCCCCTGGAGACCTCTCGCAAGCGGAAGACCCCCCCCCCCTGCCCCCCCCCCCCCTGTCCCCCGACTCCTCGGCACGGCGCCACGAGCTCCATCCAGCCTCTTGGCGTCTCCACCTCACCAGCCTCTTGGCGTCTCCGCGCAAGAACCTCGGTGCCGGGATCCGCGTCCCCGCGGGGCTCCGTGCCGGGGACCGACCCCGAGCGCGGTTGTCGACGTACGGTGCAAAATAAGTTCAACGTCCATAGAGTAGTAGTGTTGGTGTTGTTACCATCAACCCGAACAACAACCACCACTTATATCATCGCCATCGTCGATATCACTACCAGCAGCAGCACCACCACAACTACCAGCAGCAGCACCACCACAACTACCAGCAGCAGCACCACCACAACTACCAGCAGCAGCACTACAACTACCAGCACCACCACAACTACCAGCACCACCACAACTACCAGCACCACCACAACTACCAGCAGCACCACCACAACTACCAGCACCACCACAACTACCAGCACCACCACAACTACCGGCAACACCACAACTACTAACAGCACCACCACAACTACCAGCAGCACCACCACCACAACTACCAGCAGCAGCACCACCACAACTATCAGCAGCAGCACCACCACAACTATCGGCAGCAGCACCACCACAACTACCAGCAGCAGCACCACAACTACCAGCACCACCACAACTACCAGCAGCAGCACTACAACTACCAGCACCACCACAACTACCGGCACCACCACAACTACCAGCAGCAGCACAACTACCAGCACCACCACTAAAACTACCAGCACCACCACAACTACCAGCACCACCACAACTACCAGCACCACTACAACTACCAGCACCACCACAACTACCAGCACCACCACTACAACTACCAGCAGCACCACCACAACTACCAGCAGCAGCACAACTACCAGCACCACCACTACAACTACCAGCAGCACCACCACTACAACTACCAGCAGCGGCAGGACGTCTCCAATGCCACGCTGCACGCGCCATGAGCGGCCCCGGCGCAGCCTCTGAGCTCTCTGCGCTCTCTGCGCTGGGTGTCGCTGCGAACGGAACGCGGCCCCCGGCGCCATGGAACCCCTCGGCCTCTGGCGCCATGGCGGCGGGGTCGTGGCCGGGGGCCGGGTTCGGGCCCGAACTGGGGTCGGGGCTGGGGTCGGGGCTGGCCTCGGCCGAGGAGGAGGAGGGGGACGCGGGTCCTGCGGCGGTCCCCCTGGAGCACAACTACGCGGCGCTGACGCTGGGGGTGGCGCTCATCGCGGTCATCATCCTGGGCAACGTCCTCGTGTGCCTGAGCGTGTTCACCGAGAAGGCCCTCAAGACGGCCACCAACTACTTCATCGTGAGCCTCGCCGTGGCCGACCTCCTGCTCGCCGTGCTCGTGCTGCCGCTCTACGTTTACGCAGAGGTGCGTGCCAAGGTGGTGGTGATGACGGTTTGGATGACACTACGTGATAGTGCTGGTGGGTGGTGATGATGACAGTTTGGATGACGCTACGTGACAGTGTAGGTGATGGAGGACATGGTGGTGCTGGTGGGTGGTGATGATGACAGTTTGGATGACGCTACGTGATAGTGTAGGTGATGGAGGAGATGGTGGTGCTGGTGGGTGGTGATGATGACGGTTTGGATGTCGCTTCGTGACAGTGTAGGTGATGGTGGAGATGGTGGTGCTGGTGGGTGGTGATGATGACGGTTTGGATGACACTACGTGATAGTGTAGGTGATGGTGGAGATGGTGGTGCTGGTGGGTGGTGATGATGACAGTTTGGATGACGCTACGTGATAGTGTAGGTGATGGAGGAGATGGTGGTGCTGGTGGGTGGTGATGATGACAGTTTGGATGACACTACGTGATAGTGTAGGTGATGGTGGAGATGGTGGTGCTGGTAGGTGGTGATGATGACGGTTTGGATGACACTACGTGATAGTGTAGGTGATGGAGCTGGCAGAGATGGCGATTGGTGCGAATGGTGGTCGTGGTGGTGGTGATGGAGGTGGTAGTAGTGGTGGTGATGAAGGTGGTGGTAGTGGTGGTGATTGAGGTGGTGGTAGTGGTGGTGATGGAGGTGGTGGTAGTGGTGGTGTGGGAGGTGGTGGTAGTGGTGGTGATGGAGGTGGTGGTAATGGAGGTGGTGGTGGAGGTAGTGGTGGTGATGGAGGGGGTGGTAGTGGTGGTGATGGAGGTGGTGGTCGTTGTGATGATGGAGGTGGTGGTGGTGTGGGAGGTGGTGGTAGTGGTGGTGATGGAGGTGGTGGTAGTGGTGGTGATGGAGGTGGTGGTGGTAGTGGTGGTGATGGAGGTGGTGGTAGTGGTGGTGATGGAGGTGGTGGTAGTGGTGGTGATGGAGGTGGTGTTCGTGGTGGTGATGGAGGTCGTGGTAGTGGTGGTGATGGAGGTGGTGGTCGTGGTGGTGATGGAGGTGGTGGTAGTGGTGGTGTGGGTCGTGGTGGTCGTGGTGGTGATGGAGGTGGTGGTAGTGATGGAGGTGGTGGTCGTGATGGTAGTGGTGGTGTGGGGAGTGGTAGTGTAGCAGTTAGCGCTACGCCGCGCTACGAACCTGGCGACACGGGTTCGATTCCCGCTCACGGCCAACACCAGTGACAATTATCTGAACTGATCCCGGACCTCCCCTAGGTCGACTCAGCCTCAAATGAGTACCTGGTGCGATGTGTAAACATCGCCACTGGGGAGACAAAGGCGGCCAGGCGTGGTGTTGGCCACCCACCCCCTCGTGTGCCGTGCCGGCTTTCATAGGTGCTCGCTAACAGCACTTGCCCCTACAGTCTGTTCAGGCTATACAGGGGATCTTTTTTTGGTAGTGGTGGTGATGGAGGTGGTGGATGTAATGGTGGACAGTTGGTCGTCCTGGTGATGTTGAGAGAGGCGCCTAACAAGTGTAAATTAGTGGTGGTTCGGGTTGATTATTAATGTGCCGGGAGATGGGGTTAGAATGGTTACGGTGGAGGTTAGTGATGATGGCGATGGTATTAGGTGGTGATAATAATGTATATACGTTAAACTTCTTTCGCACCCTACGGAGCCAACCCTTCCAATAGGAGGTACGGGGAAGGGGGACAAACGAATGTTAGTGATGACGACGTTGTGGTGGTTAGGTCTGATGGCGATGCTTTTGGTGGTCGTAGTAATTGTGGTTGGTGATGATGATTAAATGATTGTGACGACGACGACTACGATGGTGGTAGTTGGTGGAAGTGGTGCTGGCGATGATGGTCATAACGACAACGACGATGGTGATGGTACTGTAGCTGGTAGACGTGACGTGGACGGCGGTGACATACCTGATGATGACGCCGATGTCGCTACACGCCTTGCGCGCTATGGAACACGTTACGGCCTCTAACACCGCCTCAACTGCATCGCCACAACAATCCCTCGATATCTCCCCTGGCATCTCCACCACAATGAGATCACAATCCCTAGATATGTCCCCTGGCATCTCCACCACAATGAGATCACAATCCCTCGATATCTCCCCTGGCATCTCCACCACAATGAGATCACAATCCCTAGATATCTCCCCTGGCATCTCCACCACAATGCATCACAACATTGGGCAGATTCCGTGCACCGGTGGACAGTTAAGGGCAGCTCACAATGCGCCTGCTGGCACCAATCATCATGAGCATCAGAAGTGAAAGCATTTTCTCAAACCACCTCTACTTGAACCTTTGGGTATCTGTGCAGGTCTGTTGGCCTGTGTGTAAGTATGCGAGTCTCCGTATGATTCTGTATCTCAAATCAACACCTCTACTTGAACCAATGGGTACAGTATCTATGTAGGGCTATTGGCCTCCGTTTGAGTCTGTATCTCAAATCACGGACCGCATGGTAACGCCGTCACCCGCTGTCGGCAGTATGCCAGATATTTTCACCGTGAAGCGACGCGTGAAGCCATCTATAGTTGAGTCTATGGCTCTCTATCTAGGTCCATCGGTCTCTATATGAGCCTGTGAATCTCCACGTGAGTCTACATCGCAAACCGCGGAGCGCGTAGCAGCGCCGCTGCCCACTTCCAGCAGTCACAGATACCCACCACGAGGCCTGAAGCACTCTCCCCGCCCGCCCGCCCGCCCCTCGCCCCTCGACGCACCACGAGCGGCCCCTGGACGAGAGGGCGCGCGCGTGGGACGCGTGACCGCTGTCCGCACTGCCCGGGCCGCTGCTCTTAATTGAAAGCCACCGAAGCGCGAGGGGCGGCTTCTCTGATCGATGGCCAAGCCGTGTCCGTGAGGCGCGGGGCCACTGACAAGGCCGGTGGAGCCAAGCAATGGGGGATGAGGTTACATCTTTAATTGATAATGATGATGAGGGTGATTGATAGCCCCCCATAATCATTATCATCGGAGCGGTGAGACTTAATTACCTCGGTGTGACGCCGTGCCCATGGAGGCTGACATAACCTCCCCGGGCGTTCGCTACTGTTACCCCCCCCCCCCTTCTCTGCAGTTTCTGGGGGGCACGTGGACCCTGAGCACGGCTCTGTGCGACGCGCTCATGACGATGGACGTGATGCTGTGCACTGCCTCCATCTTCAACTTGTGCGCTATAAGTGTGGACAGGTGCGGGTCATCTCCATCGCGGTCATCATCGACAGTAGCAGCATCGTCACCAGCAGCAGAAGCATCATCATCATCAGCAGCATCATTAGGATCATCGTCATCATCAACAGCAGAATCATCATCAGCAGCGGTATTTGTCAAGCTTTCGGCACGCACTGCTGCTGCTGCATCAGCGTCTATGCTTCTGTAGCAGCAGGGAAGGGTGAGAGGCGAATGTGGCTTGAGCTCAGTACCTCCTCAAACAACCCGGGGCCATGGCTACTCACCACACTCACCCCACACACTCACCACACTCACCCCACACACTCACCACACTCACCCCACACACTCACCACACTCACCCCACACACTCACCACACTCACCCCACACACTCACCACACTCACCCCACACACTCACCACACACACTCACTCCACACACTCACCACACTCACCCTACACACTCACCACACTCACCCCACACACTCACCACACACACTCACCCCACACACTCACCACACTCACCCCACACACTCACCACACTCACCCCCACACACTCACCACACTCACCCCACACACAGCCCACTCGCCACACTCACCCCACACACTCACCACACTCACCCCACTAACCACACACACTCACCACACTCACCACACTCACCCCACACACAGCCCACTCACCCCACACACAGCCCACACACAGCCCACTCACCCCACACACTCACCACACTCACCCCACACACTCACCACACTCACCCCACACACTCACCACACTCACCCCACACACTCACCACACTCACCCCACACACTCACCACACTCACCCCACACACTCACCACACTCACCCCACACACTCACCACACTCACCCCACACACTCACCACACTCACCCCACACACTCACCCCACACACTCACCCCACACACTCACCACACTCACCCCACACACTCACCCCACACACTCACCCCACACACTCACCCCACACACTCACCCCACACACTCACCCTACACACTCACCCCACACACTCCACACAGCCCACTCACCACACTCACCCCACACACTCACCCCACACACAGCCCACTCGCCACACTCACCCCACACACTCACCACACTCACCCCACACACTCACCACACTCACCCCACACACTCACCACACTCGCCACTCACCCCACACACTCACCACACTCACCCCACACACAGCCGACTCGCCACACTCACCCCACACACTCACCACACTCGCCACACTCACCCCACACACTCACCACACTCGCCACACTCACCCCACACACTCACCACACTCACCACAATCACTCCACACACTCACCCCACACACTCACCACACTCGCCACACTCACCCCACACACTCACCACACTCACCCCACACACAGCCGACTCGCCACACTCACCCCACACACTCACCACACTCGCCACACTCACCCCATACACTCACCACACTCACCACACTCACTCCACACACTCACCCCACACACTCACCACACTCGCCACACTCACCCCACACACTCACCACACTCACCCCACACACAGCCTACTCGCCACACTCACCCCACACACTCACCACACTCACCCCACACACAGCCCACTCACCCCACACACTCACCACACTCACCCCCACACACTCACCACACTCACCCCACACACAGCCCACTCACCCCACACACTCACCACACTCACCCCACACACAGCCCACTCACCCCACACACTCACCACACTCACCACACTCACCCCACACACAGCCCACTCACCCCACACACTCACCACACTCACCCCACACACAGCCCACTCACCCCACACACTCACCACACTCACCCCACACACAGCCCACTCGCCACACACACTCACCACACTCACCCCACACACTCACCACACACACTCACCTCACCCCACACACAGCCCACTCACCACACTCACGACTCTCACCCAACTGAACCCACTCCGCATCTAAGGGTGGGCTGTGCATCACCTGAGAGTTGCCTCTCGTCTCGGAAGAGCGCACAACGCCCTCAGTGCAGTGCTGCAATTTTAATTGGCTGTTGCGTCGGGTGGAGGAGGGTGTACGACGCAACATTTACAGCTCCGCGATCTGTGTTCAAGCAAACCCGCTACCGGCCTCGCATGAGTGCGAGGTGGTGGTGGTGAGGTGGTGGTGGTGGGTGGTGGTAAGGTGGTGGTGGTGGGTGGTGGTGGTGAGGTGGTGGTGGTGGCGAGGTGGTGGTGGTGAAGTGGTGGTGAGGTGGTGAGGTGGTGGTGGGTGGTGGTGGTGAGGTGGTGGTGGTGGTGGTGGCGAGGTGGTGGTGGCGAGGTGGTGGTGGCGAGGTGGTGAGGTGGTGGTGGTGGTTGTCCACAGGTATATCGCCGTGGTGGTGCCCTTCCAGTACAACCGCAGCCGCTTCGGCTGCCGCCAGCTGGTGCTCATCGGCGCCACGTGGGTGCTGTCGCTCGGCGTCGCCAGCCCGGTCATCTTCGGCCTCAACGACGTGGAGCGCCGCGACCCGGCCGTGTGCCGCCTGGAGAGCAGCAGCTTCGTGCTCTACTCGTCCGTGTGCTCCTTCTTCGTGCCCTGCCCCATCATGCTGGCGCTCTACTACTGGATCCTGCGCGGACTCCGGCGGTGGCGCCGCTCCCGAAGGAGCCGGAGCCGGGCCGACGGTTCGGGCCGCGGCCCCCGCGAAGCGCACAAGGCCGGGGTCGACGCTGCGGCGGCGGCGACGAGGGAGGCGCTGGGGAATAGTCGAGGGAGGGCGCCCCTGCAAGGGGACGCTGGGGACAGATTCGAGGAGCAGCAGCAGCTGAAGGCGGGGTACCTTCCCGGCCCTGCAGCTGTCGCCTTCCTCCCTCGGGGGCCCCCGACGCAGAGCCCCCCGGGAGGAGGAGATGGGGTCTCGTGCGCGGCGGCGGGGCCCCCGAATGTCGACATCCCCCGGGCGGACGATGAAGAGGAGGAGGAGGAGCACCCGGAGGAACATAGCGGGGGTCCCTGCGTGGGGGGTCTGCCCCCCGCGCAGGGACCCCGGCCGAGAAGGGGTCGGGGCGGGGAGCGGCCGTGCAGAGGCGGGCGGAGAATGAGCGGCAGGGAGCAGAAGGCGATGCGAGTGCTACCCATTGTAGTAGGTGAGTGGGGTAGGTGAGTGGTGCGGTAGGTGAGTGGAGTGGTAGGTGAGTGGTGCGGTAGGTGAGTGGAGTGGTAGGTGAGTGGTGCGGTAGGTGAGTGGAGTGGTAGGTGAGTGGTGCGGTAGGTGAGTGGAGTGGTAGGTGAGTGGTGTGGTAGGTGAGTGGAGTGGTAGGTGAGTGGTGCGGTAGGTGAGTGGAGTGGTAGGTGAGTGGTGTGGTAGGTGAGTGGAGTGGTAGGTGAGTGGTGCGGTAGGTGAGTGGTGCGGTAGGTGAGTGGAGTGGTAAGTGAGTGGTGCGGTAGGTGAGTGGAGTGGTAGGTGAGTGGTGTGGTAGGTGAGTGGAGTGGTAGGTGAGTGGTGCGGTAGGTGAGTGGAGTGGTAGGTGAGTGGTGTGGTAGGTGAGTGGAGTGGTAGGTGAGTGGTGCGGTAGGTGAGTGGAGTGGTAGGTGAGTGGTGCGGTAGGTGAGTGGAGTGGTAGGTGAGTGGTGTGGTAGGTGAGTGGAGTGGTAGGTGAGTGGTGCGGTAGGTGAGTGGAGTGGTAGGTGAGTGGTGCGGTAGGTGAGTGGAGTGGTAGGTGAGTGGTGCGGTAGGTGAGTGGAGTGGTAGGTGAGTGGTGCGGTAGGTGAGTGGAGTGGTAGGTGAGTGGTGTGGTAGGTGAGTGGAGTGGTAGGTGAGTGGTGCGGTAGGTGAGTGGTGCGGTAGGTGAGTGGAGTGGTAAGTGAGTGGTGCGGTAGGTGAGTGGAGTGGTAGGTGAGTGGTGTGGTAGGTGAGTGGAGTGGTAGGTGAGTGGTGCGGTAGGTGAGTGGAGTGGTAGGTGAGTGGTGTGGTAGGTGAGTGGAGTGGTAGGTGAGTGGTGCGGTAGGTGAGTGGTGCGGTAGGTGAGTGGAGTGGTAGGTGAGTGGTGCGGTAGGTGAGTTGCGTAGATTAGCGGCGTGGTAGGTGAGTGGAGTGGTAGCTAAGTGGAGGGGTTCATAATTGCCACGTCGGAGATACAAAGACGGCACCGCGGAGCCCTTGTGGGTTCTACTTCGGATTTTGATATACACTTTCCGAGGCCGTTCTCGAACGCGGGGCGAGGCTACGCTGCTCTCTGGGTGAGCTCCCAATGTACGCGTCTCTGTCTCCCCACCGTACGTTGAACTTCTTTCGCACCGTACGGCGCAAACCGTGCTAATCGGTGGTACGGGGGAAGGACAACAAACTGCGTAGCTCATGTCACGCCATGGACCACCTGTCACCCAGGACCTATATAATCTGTCACATTCAGCCTAACCAACCCGTCAGCTGTCGCCTAACACGTGACAGCTGTCACCCGTCATTTCTGTCATGCTGATACCATCGCACCTTTGACGTGTCAGGTGTGTGCTGCCACCTGTCACGCGTGGCTCAGCCCCCCCTGAAATTTTGGGAAAGTCGGTAATCGGGATAACCGGATATCCGGCTGCTTCAAAATGCTGCAGGCTGCCACCTTGTGCTGCCCTGCAGGCTGCCACCTCGTGCTGCCCTGCAGGCTGCCACCTTGTGTGCTGCCCTGCAGGCTGCCACCTCGTGTGCTGCCCTGCAGGCTGCCACCTTGTGCTGCCACCTTGTGTTGCCACCTTGTGCTGCCCTGCAGGCTGCCACCTCGTGCTGCCCTGCAGGCTGCCACCTTGTGCTACCCTGCAGGCTGCCACCTTGTGTGCTGCCCTGCAGGCTGCCACCTTGTGCTGCCACCTTGTGTTGCCACCTTGTGCTGCCCTGCAGGCTGCCACCTTGTGCTGCGACCTTGTGCTGCCCTGCAGGCTGCCACCTCGTGCTGCCCTGCAGGCTGCCACCTTGTGTGCTGCCACCTCGTGCTGCCCTGCAGGCTACCACCTTGTGTGCTGCCCTGCAGGCTGCTTGAGCGGCAGCCTTTCGAACTTATCGAACTTATCAGCCACATCAGCGGCTCCGACCTATTAATAAACTCCGCGTTCAAATCCAATAAAATTTGTTTTATACATTTGTGGCGCCCATTGGAAAACATAAACACTGGATATCTCAGAATATTAAAATGAGCCCCCCCAAAGTCAAAATCCTGGCTCCGCCCCTGGTAGTGGGGGCAGGGATGAGGAGGCGCGGTGGTGGTGGAGGAGGGATGAGAGGAAGAGAGGGAAGCGATCGGTAGAAAGGGAAATTATTCCTTTTGATATCTAAAGGGGAGCGATGCCGACATTGAGCGGGGGGGGGGGGGGGGGAACCACTCGGCTTTGATGTCGCCGGGGACCGGTTCGGGTCGCCGCGTCGGGAACCGTCGACGCCTCGAGATTTGCAATCCCAGCTCCGCCCCCACCCCCCACTGCGTCGGTAATTACGAGCGTCACGCTCCAGCGAGGGGAGGGGGTGCTGATGGTGGTCGCGGGATTTAAAACCTCGCCGTGACTGCGCCTCGCGCGGCGCCACTCCGGGAACGTGCACCACGGCCCTCGTAGCCTGGGTAACGCCTTTGTCGTGGTACACGTGGTACACGTTGTCATGGGTACACGTGGTACACGTTGTCATGGGTACACGTGGTACACGTTGTCATGGGTACACGTGGTACATGTTGTCATGGGTACACGTGGTACACGTTGTCATGGGTACACGTGGTACACCTTGTCATGGGTACACGTGGTACACGTTGTCATGGGTACACGTGGTACACCTTGTCATGGGTACACGTGGTACACCTTGTCATGGGTACACGCGGTACACGTTGTCATGGGTACACGTGGTGTACCCGGGTACACGTGGTACACGTGGTACACCTTGTCATGGGTACACGTGGTACACGTGGTACACGTTGTCATGGGTACACGTGGTACACGTGGTACACGTTGTCATGGGTACACCTTGTCATGGGCACACCACGTGTACCCGGGCACACCTTGTCATGGGTACACGTGGTACACGTTGTCATGGGTACACGTGATACACCTTGTCATGGGTACACGTGGTACACCTTGTCATGGGTACACGTGGTACACGTTGTCATGGGTACACGTGGTACACCTTGTCATGGGTACACGTGGTACACCTTGTCATGGGTACACGCGGTACACGTTGTCATGGGTACACGTGGTGTACCCGGGTACACGTGGTACACGTGGTACACCTTGTCATGGGTACACGTGGTACACGTGGTACACGTTGTCATGGGTACACGTGGTACACGTGGTACACGTTGTCATGGGTACACCTTGTCATGGGCACACCACGTGTACCCGGGCACACCTTGTCATGGGTACACGTGGTACACGTTGTCATGGGTACACGTGATACACCTTGTCATGGGTACACGTGGTACACCTTGTCATGGGTACACGTGGTACACCTTTTCATGGGCACACCTTGTCATGGGCATGCCTGGAAGAGCGTGACTGGGGTGCAGGAAGGGTACGGCTCTCGATCGATCGATCAATCGATCGATCAATCGATCGATCGATGCGCAATGCACAGCAGCTGTGACGCGCGAGGGAACTCGATCGGTGACCAAAGGGGAACACGGCGCTCCGTGTTCTGTTTACATTTTACTTCCCTCAATATTTCATCCCAACCGCTTGTGCTGTCGTGGCACGAGATGCAATGTCCCACCCAGAGCCCTCCGAGAGTCGTGCCGTTCCCGAGGAAGCAGAGTTCGCAGAACTATCGCTGCAAGATGCCTTCAACTCGTGACCTTTATTTGTCTTTACATTCCACACATCAGGGGGTGCACACCTTCCCACGCACGCTACCGCGGAGACAAGTACACCGCGCGGCAGTCAACCCGACGTTTGAATTCTCAGAGAGGCTTTGCTGCGCGTGTCGCGGTGAACAGGGCTGTTACTCTCAGCTGCTGCTGTGAGCGAGTGAGTTGGCGGGCGAGTGAGTAGGTGGGGGGAGTTAATGAGCGAGCGAGTGGGTGAGTGAGTTAGCGAGTGCATGGTCAAGTGAGTTGTTGAGTTAAGTGAGTGAGTGTGGGTGGTTGAGTAAGTGGGTGAGTGGTTTGGTGAATATATGAATGGGCAAGTGAGTGAGTGACAGAGTGAGCAATTTATTGAATTGTCGAGCAGCTTGACGAAGTAAATGAATGGCCGAGCAAACGAGTGATCGGGTGGGTGAGTCGCTGAGTGAAAGACTGAGCGGGTGGGCGATCGAGTGAGTGGAGGACTGCGCTGGTGACCATCGTCTCCTCCTGCCCCCCCCCCCAGGAGTGTTCCTCGCCTGCTGGACCCCCTTCTTCGTGGTGCACGTGACGCACGCGCTCTGCGCCGAGTGCGGCGTCAGTGCGGCGCTCGTGAGCGTCGTCACGTGGCTCGGCTACGTGAACAGCGCCGTGAACCCCATCATCTACACGGCCTTCAACGCCGAGTTCCGCGGCGTGTTCCGCAAGGTGCTGTGCTGCCGCTCCGCCTCGTAGGGAGCCACCCAAGGGCTCGGGGACCCGCGGAAGAATGGCACGTGGGGACCCCCCTCGGCGTCACCATCCGCCAGCCCCTTGAGGGTTTTTGTCTCGTGCGAGGCCCAGTGGCTCCCCCACTGGGCGGCTCTGGGTGTGTGCACAAACAACCACCCCACAAAGACAAAGATCCCCCGTATAGCCTTAACAGACTGGAGGGGCAAGTGCTGTTAGCGGGCACCCTTGAAGGCTGGAACGGCACACGAGGGGGTAAGTGGCCAGCACCACGCCCGGCCGCCTTTGTCTCCCCAGTGACAATGTTTACACACTGCACCAGGTACTCATTTGAGGCTTAATTCGTTTTAGGGGAGGCCCAGGATCGGTTCAGATAATCGTCACTGGTATTGGCCGTGGGTAAGAATGGAACCCGGGTTGCCGGGTTCGTAGTGCAGCTCGCTAACCATGACACTACCGCTTCCCACTCATCCATCCACACACCCCTACACGTACACACATCCATCCACACACCCCTACACACATCCATCCACACCCCTACACACATCCATCCACACACCTACACACATCCATCCACACCCCTACACACACCCCTACACACATCCATCCACACACCCCTACACACATCCATCCACACACTCCAACACGTACACACATCCATCCACACACCCCTATACGTACACACATCCATCCACACACCCCTACACACATCCATCCACACCCCTACACACATCCATCCACACCCCTACACACATCCATCCACACACCTCTACACGTACACACATCCATCCACACATCTCTACACGTACACACATCCATCCACACACCCCTACACGGACACAACACCGCCTTCTCACCGTCACTCCAAGCACCTCGTCATCCTCTCCACTCGTCTTTTCGCTGCGCTGATTTATATCGAAATCCGCTTCTGCTCTGATCCTGAATCAAGTGTCAGTCATTGAGTGAATGATTTGCATAATTTACAATTAATTTATTGTTGTCGTTATTAACTTAAAATCCATTGATATTGCGAAGTAGAGAAACTTGATCGCGGAGAAAACCCGGATAGCGAAGCAAAGAAACTGCGGCGTGGAACGGAGAAACTTTGGCATGGAATATAAAAACTTCGGAATGGAGTCGAGAAAACGTGGGATGGACAACAAACTCTGGCACGGAGCCGATACATTCCAGCGACTGCAAACTGTAAACCCTGACATGGAGCAATTAAACTCTGGCAACCGGAGAACAGAAACTCCGAAATGGAGCAGACAAACACCGTCGTGGAGCCGAGAAGCTCTGGCATCAGGAACTCCGCGGGAGTGGAGCTTCGGGAATGTGGAATCTCGGCTCCCACCCCCTCACCTCCCTTCACAAAGAGGAAGACTCCGCCCCCCCCAGCGACCCCTCTACCCCGCCAAGGCTGCATCAATCCCAGAGTTCACACACGTGGCCGGGGACGGTAATCCCCTTCACTGGATCCCCTTTGGCCCTGGTGTGTGGAGGTGTCCCCGGGGGCCCTGGGTTCCGTGTGCGCTGCGGCTTTCGTGGTTCTGTTCTGTGCGGTGAGTGTCGGGAGAATAAAATTCACGGTGATTGGCTACCGCACAGAGCACCGCCGTTTTATTACAAACAACGGTGGTGGTGACGGTGACGATGTTGGTGGTATTTCTAATTATATATACAGCAGGTGGTAATTGTGGCGTTGATGGTCGTGATAGTGATGAAGATATTGGTGGTGGTGGATTAGTATTGGTGCGCGTGGCGATGACGATCCTGCCGGTGGTATGATGATGGTGTGATGACAGGACAGACTCCAACACACATTGAGCACGCGTCTCGCTGCCGCTGCTGCTGTTGTTGCTGCTCGGAACATTCAATCGCCTGCCGCGCTTCCGCTCTCTCGATGGGCTTCGAGCTTCCTCGGGAGCCACGACCCCGCGTCCATTCTCGGGGAATCAAAAACCACGGCGCGCCGTGGGCCACGCGCAGAGCGGCTGTCGTTCACGAAGACAACCGCACGCTCCCATCGGCACTCGTCAACTTGGACACGTGGGCGGACACCTGTCCACACCGCTCACCTGGTCGCGGATTTATCGGTTCACATGTTCACCCGCATATCTGGTGCCGTTTGTACACCCTGGCATCTGTTAGCTTGATCAGCAAGGGCCCTCGATATATTTACCTTTCGGACCTGTTGACGCGATCAGCCGCTCGTGTGGTTCACCTTTTCACATTCATACTTGGACACCCCGTTCATTCGTTGTTCACCTCTTCATTTGTTCACTTTGATAGCTGTCCACCCGTTTACCTGTTCATGTGTTTGCATTGACACTTTGTCATCTCAACACCGGTCCCTCGTGTTCACGGGACACCTTCTCACCTGGACACTGTCCACGCGTTCACTTAGGCGACCCCCCACCCTCCTCCGAGCCACACGCTCGGTGCCCCCACCTCGCCTCCCCCTCTCACGCACCTGAACTGTGACTGGGCACACACCTGAACTGTGACTGTACACGCACCTGAACTGTGACTGGGCACACACCTGAACTGTGACTGTACACGCACCTGAACTGTGACTACACACGCACCTGAACTGTGACTGTACACACACCTGAACTGTGATTGTACACACACCTGAACTGTGACTGGGCACACACCTGAACTGTGACTGGGCACACACCTGAACTGTGACTGTACACACACCTGGACTGTGACTGTACACGCACCTGAACTGTGACTACACACGCACCTGTACTGTGACTGTACACACACCTGAACTGTGATTGTACACGCACCTGAACTGTGACTACACACACACCTGAACTGTGACTGGGCACACACCTGAACTGTGACTGTACACGCACCTGAACTGTGACTACACACACACCTGAACTGTGACTGTACACGCAGCTGAACTGTGACTGTACACGCACCTGAACTGTGACTGGGCACACACCTGAACTGTGACTGGGCACACACCTGAACTGTGACTGGGCACACACCTGAACTGTGACTGTACACGCTCCTGAACTGTGACTACACACGCACCTGAACTGACTGTACACACACCTGAACTGTGACTGTACACACCTGAACTGTGACTACACACGCACCTGAACTGTGACTGTACGCGCACCTGAACTGTGACTGTACACACCTGAACTGTGACTACACACACCTGAACTGTGACTACACACACACCTGAACTGTGACTGTACACGCACCTGAACTGTGACTACACACACACCTGAACTGTGACTGTACACGCACCTGAACTGTGACTACACACGCACCTGAACTGTGACTACACACGCACCTGAACTGTTACTGTACACGCACCTGAACTGTGACTGTACGCGCACCTGAACTGTGACTGGGCACACACCTGAACTGTGACTGTACGCGCACCTGAACTGTGACTGGGCACACACCTGAACTGTGACTGTACACGCAGCTGAACTGTGACTGTACACGCAGTTTCAGTTTTCAGTTTCAGTTTATTTATGTTGGTATAGCCCTGTGAGCCATTGGGCTCTTGAATCGGGTGCAACAACAACAACAACAAACAAAAAAACCAAAAACACGAACAAGAAAAACATCTAAGTGACTATGTGACTGTGCAAACAGAAAATCCATGAAAAAAACAGCAAAATATTCCTGAAAAAAGCACCGTACACCAACGCTGTGCAAAAAAATCCCAGTGGGATGCAAGTCAAACAAGAACAACCACAAGAAAACTTAGATTAAGGCCATCAATCTAACTCCGTACTAAAACAAAACAAACTTTTCGAAATCACCAAAAAAATAAAGCCATAATTGCAACGTAACAGTGACCACAGGGACTGCGACCGAATTTTTACAATAAACTACATAAATAACATGTAACACCAAATCCTAGAGCCATAGCTGGCTGCATGAGTTACTCCACAACAACAGAAGCATCAGTCGGAGTATCAAATTTTTCAATGCACCTTTAAGATGAGCACGCTAAATCAAAATACAGATAATACTTTGCAGCGTCATCCGGAGCGAAAACAATTTTATTTTATTTTACGCCAATGAATAGCAGTGGCAGCTAGGGGTGTACAACTCCTCTAGAGCACTTTTGATAGAAGGTCTCATTGGTAGTGATTCAAGTTATAGTTTATTGGCAATAGCATTCCAGACCCTGGGGGCATCAATAGCAAAGGCCCTTCCTCCAGCTTTTGTACGGCAATAGGGAATGTGAAGCTGGTAAATGAGCGAAGACCTGAGGTCAAATTTGTTCTTTGAAACAGAGAGGAGATCCAGCAGGTAGACTGCGGATTTTTTGTAAGTACATCGTGAATATAATAAGATCTGGTGCACAAGCCGTCGAACATTAAGAGATGTTAAGTTTGACCCAATGTAGAGATCAGAGTGGTGAATCCTACAGTGAGGGAAAAAAGTATTTGATCCCCTGCTGATTTTGTACGTTTGCCCACTTACAAAGAAATGATCAGTCTATAATTTTAATGGTAGGTTTATTTGAACAGTGAGAGACAGAATAACAACAAAAATCCAGAAAAACGCATGTCAAAAATGTTATAAATTGATTTGCATTTTAATGAGGGAAATCATTTTTTGACCCCCTCTCAATCAGAAAGATGTCTGGCTCCCAGGTGTCTTTTATACAGGTAACGAGCTGAGATTAGGAGCACACTCTTAAAGGGAGTGCTCCTAATCTCAGTTTGTTACCTGTATAAAAGACACCTGTCCACAGAAGCAATCAATCAGATTCCAAACTCTCCACCATGGCCAAGACCAAAGAGCTCTCCAAAGATGTCAGGGACAAGATGGTAGACCTACACAAGGCTGGAATGGGCTACAAGACCATTGCCAAGCAGCTTGCTGAGAAGGTGACAACAGTTGGTGCGATTATTCGCAAATGGAATAAACGCAAAAGATCTGTCAATCTCACTCAGCCTGGGGCTCCATGCAAGATCTCACCTCGTGGAGTTGCAATGATCATGAGAACGGTGAGGAATCAGCCCATAACTACACGGGAAGATCTTGTCAATGATCTCAAGGCAGCTGGGACCATAGTCACCAAGAAAACAATTGGTAACACACTATGCTGTGAAGGACTGAAATCCTGCAGCGCCCGCAAGGTCCCCCTGCTCAAGAAAGCACATACACATGCCCGTCTGAAGTTTGCCAATGAACATCTGAATGATTCAGAGGACAACTGGGTGAAAGTGTTGTAATCAGATGATACCAAAATGGAGCTCTTTGGCATCAACTTCACC